CTGAGTTTAGGCTTCCTTCGAAAGCGGGCTCTGGGAAGAATGTGATAATGAATGGGCAACTGGAGTTCAGCCCTACTGGGGACCCTCTAAAAGAGAGTGTAAGACACACCGCAGAAATGGCGCACTGAGGGTCTAAGCCAGTGATGGCGAATCTTTTGAGCTCGGCGTGTCAGCATTTTGAAAAACCCTAACTTAACTCTGGTGCCGTGTCACATATAGAAATGTTTTGATATTTGCCAAAATGCTGACACGCCGAGCTCAAAAGGTTCGCCTTCACTGGTCTAGGAAGATGGGGTGTTTATCCACCAGGCCCCATCCCTCTTGGGTTGAAGGTTGAATTGGGGGTTGTGAACTTTCTATCACGTGCAGCCTAGCCCTCAGGCAGAGCCATGCAAGTGGTTGAGGCGGCTGAGGCGGAGGCCATCTGGCCTCCATGTGAATAGAAACTATCCTCCAGCAGAGTCTGCGACCAGGCCCAGAGCAGGGAGAGCCCCAGCTCCCAGTGTTGCAGTCCTGGGACTCCCAGGGCCCCCAACCCTCCTTCCTCCTTGCCCTCTGCCACTGGCACCCCTGCAGTGGAAGCTGCAGCCATTCCTTTGGTGTAACTACGACTAGTATTTCCCAGCCCTCCTGGGAAGTCCATCTTTGCATCTTTCCTGTAGCCTTCCTGCTTCAGCTGAATTCCAGCTGCCCTTTGTGACCCCCCTACCTTTCCTCTGCTCCCAGGTACATGTGCTCCTCTGTGCTGCAGAGAGCGCTGGCTGCCCCCCTTCTCTGGATCCTGCTGGCCCTCCTTGATGGGAAGTGCTTCGTGTGTGCCTTCAGCAGCTCTGTGGACCCTGAGAAGTTTCTGGAGTTTGCCAACATGACCCCCAGCCAGGTTCAGCTCTTCCTGGCCAAGGTGCCCTGCAAGGAGGATGAGCTGGTCAGGAACAGCCCTGCTCGAAAGGCAGTGTCTCGCTACCTGCGGTGCCTGTCACAGGTAATGTGGACGGTCCTCTCCCGAGAAGCCTCCCATTATCCTGTGTGGGTTCCGAGGTACAGGTGACGGCCTGAAGCCCCTCCCTACTGCTGGAGACACAACCAAGGAACAGGTGGTCCCCAGGGGGATCAGGAACTTGACTCATGTACAGAACAGTGTTGGGCCCTAGGAAGTAGGCACTTGGTCATCAATGCTGACTCACCCCAGGACAGAGACCAGGTACCCATATCCTCCGGGAGTCAGCTAGGCCTGTCCTCAGGGGGCTGGATGGCAGAAAGCACTGGGGATAGACTGCTCTGTCCACCCCCCACACACATTCTTCCCATCCCTCAGAAATAATACGAATTACCTTCTATTGAGCACTTATGTGTCAGGCACTGTGTTAAGCATTTCATATGCATTCTTTCATTCAATTCTCAGAACAACCCCATGAGGTGGATGCAGCCACTATCATTCCATTTCACAGATGAGGAAGTGGAGGCTCTGAGAGTTTAGCTCACTAGGCCAAAGTCACACGGCTTGGAAGAGGCAGGACAGGGATCTGAATGCACATTATAACTCCTGACCCTCTTAGCCACCTCCATACAATGCAGGTTCTCCCTAGGTGCCTGGGTCCCCACAGGGTATCAACTCCATTATCCTGGGAACAAACCCCAGCCCAGACTCCAGTCTACCACCTCCACTCCCAGAGCCTCAGGCTCAGCTATGTCCTCCTAAAGTATTTACCTGAACCTATACATTCCCAGTACCCCTGGGGCCACAGAGAATAAAAACATGACCCCAGCCCTCTGTGGAGCTGAGACCGCTGGTGGCAGATGCAGGCCCGTGGGCAGGGCAGAGAGGACCAGAGCTCAGGATGCACTGATTCTGCTTCAGGCTGTGGCCCTGGCCCTGTCACTCTCCCTCTGGGCCTCGGTTTCTCCTGCGAAATCAAGGGAAGTTTGGTCTCCTTCACTTGATGGTCCCTGCAGGCTGACACACTCTAGGCTTCACCAGCTCCTTGGAAA